AAAAACGCATACAGCGAAAAGCACAACGATGGAAAATTGTCGATAATTTAAACTTTGTAGAAGAAAATCATATAACAATGCATTTGATCTCGTTTCGAAGCATAGAATCTCTACTCCAAGCTCGTTGTTTTCATCACATCAAGTGGCGGGGAAATAAAGATACTATTTCCTTTTGGATTGAATTGTAAAAATTCAGATATCTTTGGAAATGTTGAAAAAAATTTTCCACGACTAGAATTTTTCCAGCGTTATTAAGCTTTGAATTAGTTAGGATTAAACGATAAAAATTCGAGAAATCGTTATTTAATTCTTTTTAGAATTTTCTAGGAGAAAGTATCGTTACTTTTCCATTCATTACGTTATGTAGAATCATCTTTGGAGAAAATAAATTCAAGATTGTGAAAGTGGAGATCTTAAGCTTTAATACTGAAACCAAGTGGAGTGTTCTATGATCTTTCTTCATAAAGTTATAGCAGTTTAAATCGTCGACAATTTTTTATCGTTATTGGTTTAATTACGCTCTTCATTGTATTGCATATACAATGTCCTGCAACACGCGATCAACCGATTCTACATGTAAAAATGAATAAAATTAAGAAGAAAGAATAACATTTTTCTCGCCAAAATCTTCGTTTGAAAATTTATCAACTACACTTGAATTATTTGAGAAGTGGTTTATTATTTTTGAATGATGGATAAGAGACAAAACAGTGATCGTTCTAAAATATTGAAGTATCATCGATCCTCTAACAGCCATCAAAAATTAGTTTCATTTTACTGTTAAATAATTATGGGAGGATTTGCTAAAGAAATTTACGCGAATAATTAAATGAAAGATCGAAATTTAATCCAGAGTCGAAATTTATTCGAGTATAATATTCAAACATTTAACATGCAATTTTTCTTTCTCATGAAATACGACAATATAATGTAATCTCAATAAATATTAGGATATTCTGCAGAATATCCTTTCCGTTATATTCAGAAACATCAATTGGCATCGTTCGGAAAAGAATCGCCCGGACTTTATATGACTTTTGCAATGAAATAATAATGATTGGAAACGTGAAACTGAAATTACTGAAGTGCATGTAATATCAATTATTAACATGTAAAAATTATCAATTCCGTGTTCCGCCTTTCTGTCTCATCGGTCGGATAATATCTCTCTGGCTAGTTCGATCTTTTAATCGACTTGGGCTAATTACATCGGCTTAATGGATTCAATGAAGGCAATCCTCCCATAAAATCTTCAAGTAGACGGCTCGCCTAATCGAGGAATCGCCCTCGATAAGAAAAAGAATTATGCTTTCGTCGAGGTGGAGGCACGGTGTAATTTCGGTAAGACGATAACATCGATCGGCTACGATAGAAAACGATTAATCGAACTTATCTGGTGTCCCGTACATTTTCAGAATCCGAGCATCGTCGAGATTCCGAGGTGAGTTGAAAAGGAATTCGAATAGTTTTCTCGCACGATGAAATCCTGGCTGGGGGGGGGGGGGACATAACTCTATTCTCCTCGTTTCGTGCCATTTTCTCCCATCTTCCTTTCCCTCCAATCACGTTGCAAGCTTTACCGCTGGCATGCTGCTTCGCTTATAATTTCGTAATATCAAAATCCTGCTACAAAGTTCATTTTGCTTGTTTCTTTTGTTCAAGTATTCTTTTTGGTATTTGGTTATTCAAGACCAATTGTTATTCGGAGCTTTCGGTTGTTCTTAATATATTTTACCCTCTCAATTAGCTAATTATGCATGCTGCTGTTCGCTGTTTTAATTACAAATCACATTATCGTAGTTGCAATACACAATTTTCATGCGTAACTTGTAGTCATGTTTGTGAATCTTGTGTCCGGATATATGTCGTGCAAATTGAACTACAGATTCCTTTAAACATTCTAGATTCTTCTACTCGAAACAATCATGGTGTTGGCCGTTTGAATCTTGTTGAGATAATAATCAATGAAGAACGATGCGTCGCGTTTGAGTAACAACGACGTTGCTGCTACGGTAATTTCACCCGTAGCTTGCCGCTTTAGATTTAAAACACGTGCAGAACGTGAGCGCAACTACGTGTTCCATTTTCTCCGAAAAATCGTAAACTTATTCGCAGCAAAGAGCCCGGAGGTGGGTTCGCACGAGCGTACGAATCTTCGCGAGGCGAGACATAAATTCGTTGCAGTTGCATAATTCGACGGTGACGAATACGAGCGGGTCTCGCCGGAAATCCGGTATCCATCCGCGCGATCCCTTGTCTTTTCTCTCTCTCTCTCTCTCTCCCTATCTTTACCTCTGTCTCTCCTCTTATGGAAGAAAAATCCCAGAAGCCGTCGGACGGGGGATGTTGTTGCGTGTTCGAAAGCGTTCCGGCTGAGAAAATTTTAAAACGTTCGGTAGGTTTACTTAGTTTATCGCGCGGTTTACGAGGCAGGATTTTCTGGCCCGAGCTCTGACAGACGAACTTTATAGTGGTTGCGCGAGTTTTTCATCCCAGTGGTAGCGATAGCTTCTTGTAATGGAAATGGCTGTGTACGCAGTTGTGAAGGTTTCGATGTAACAAGCTTGGAAATTTCGTTTCCGTGGTTTCCGTGGTCTTTTTACGCTCGTCCATGCTATGTTGTTTCATAATCAAGCTTATTTATAATCAATTCGTTCGTCTTGAGATTTTAAATATTGTTGAGGCGATGTTTAATTATATATAAGTGTTGTGTTACAGTAATAAGAATTGGATATTATAGCATTATGTCGAAAATTATTAATATAATATTATAACATATATTGTTATAGTAGCGAGAGTAAATATTATAATATAATTAAATATCAATAACACAGATGGTGGATATTATATTACTAAACAAGAATTTCATGCGTTATAGGCACGATTCTAGTGACTAAAGAGAAAACTGCTCGGTTAATTATTTATATATTTCTGACATCATTTTATATCGAACAATATATTCAGTTATTAAATGAAAAACATTTGAATATAGATGCAATTAATAAAATAATTGTAAAAACACAATACTAATATATAGTGAAAGAATGAAAAATTCAACAATTTAACAAAGAAATTTATTTTCTTCGCGAGGGATGTTACTATTACGTCTCTCAAATTTGATCTAGCTATATCCGACTATAAACTAAGATTCAAATTTAATTCCTTTCTATTTTGCACCGCCTCGAGAATTCAATTTAAAAATAAAATAAAATGCTTGCACATTATGCGAGAGAGAAAACAGACAAGCTGATCTGCGATTTAATCAGTCGACATCTCGGTGAGATTGTTTTATTAATGCAGCAGCATCCCCCGTTAATGAGAAATCAATTAACCCACCTGCCGATTATTCGAGTGCTTATTAATTAAACTCTTGATCATCTACATGCATAATAACCGTGCCGTTATTGGCATAATTGTCGTATCATCGAATTGCTGAATCATATTAATCCTTTCGACGCTTCGCGACGTTAATTAACATTGGGATCGACTAACTCCGGTAGCTGGCTTCCACTTTCTTACTACGTATTTCCCTCCCCCCCCC